TACATACACACAGACATACATACACACAATTTAAAATTTTTATTGTTTTTTAATTAATAACAAAAAGACCTTAAGGAAAAATGCAAACTTTTAAGTATACACACTCAGCACTACTCATCAGAAAGGTATTTATCTAGATGTTAGTACATTATTAAGACATGGTAACGCTGTGAAGCTAACAGGAGCAGATTTGAAGGATTCTCCATTTTTCAAAACACACTTCATAGGGTTGTTGTTTTAGAGCCATGTTTCTCAATCTCAGCAATCTTAAGACATGTGGGCTTCAGTGCCCAGAATTCCCTAGCCAGTTGGAGAATTCTGGGAGTCCATACGTCTTAAATTGCAAAGGTTGAAAAACACTGTTTAGAGAAATAGAAGACGAGACCATTAGCTACACTGCCTTGAATTGTACAAAAAGAAGTGTGATACAAAGCTTACAGTATATAAGAATAAGCTCCACTGAAATGCTTTAGGGCTCAAAGAACCTCTTCTTTTAAAGGGCTAAGATTAGGGGCCAATGGAAGGTTGTGCTGAATTATTGCCAGCATCCCTTTTAATCATGCTAATACCGTAACAGGAACAGTAATAAAGCTGTTTGTGCCTTGGATAATTGGACACTTTTCTTTTTTATCCTGGATTCCTCCAGAGATCCAAAGGAGGGCAAACAGAGACTTAGATAAATTAATGCTGATTTGCAGGTTATTATTGGAACAGTGATGTGCTATAGTGATAATACTGAAGGACCAGTGCAAGCATGTTAGAAAGGGATCTAGGCATTTAAATAAATCTGTTTCTCCCCATTACAATGAATCCTCGAGTTACAACAGGTCATTTAGTGACCTTTCAAAGTTACAACAGCACTGAAAAAAGCAAGTTACAACTAGTCCTTGTATTTATGACCATTGCAGCATCCTCACAGAACAGGATCAAAATTTGAGGGCTTGGCAACTGACATGTATATAAAATGGTTGCAACATCCTGGGGTCATTTCGGTCTTCTCAGCTGGCTTCCAACAAACAAAGGCAACGGGGGAAAGCTGAATCTCTTCACAACTGGGTAATTCACTGAACTGCAGTGATTAACTGAACAACTGTGGCTAAAAAGTCATAAAATTGGGTGCAATTCACTTCAAACTACCTTGCTTAGCAGTGGAAATTGTGATCAAAATTGTGGTCATAAGTTGAGGACTACATGTATGTGAAAAGGAGTAATATTGCAGCTAGGCACAAAATTCAAAGCATTTAAGTTGTAGCAAAGTTCTCTGATATTGTTCCGTATCGTCTGAAAAGTTCAATATACTTCTGTGCCCCGAAGAAAGGAAAATTTCATCTTTTAATTGTGACTGCTTGCTATCTCGCAATTTTGCCGTTTTTCTGATGTCAGACTTGCATCTCACAGTGTAGAACAGGGGTGTCAAACTCATGATGACATGTAGTCACATGACATGTCACAACTTTTTCTCCCTTCACTAAACCGGGGTGGGCGTGGCCAGTGCGTGTTGCATCCGCCCATGGGTGGCGAGTTTGACACCCCTGGTGTAGAATCTCTCTTGAAGCCCCAAACTTTTCTGTGAACTTATGCCTGTGCTGACTTGATTCTTGAAACCAGTGTTTCTCAACCTCAGGAACTGTAAGGTGAGTGCACTTCAACTCCCAGAATTGAAGGTGCAGGCTGGGGAATTCTGGAAGTTGAAGTCCAATCATCTCCAAGTTGCCAAATTTGAGAAAGGCTGTTCTGAGTGACAGCATCTCAGTGACAGAACTGTCCCTTCGTCCTCACCCATGACGTGCATAAGTGCACAATGGTGCCTACCGTCCCTGTCCTATTGTCCCCATTCATACCTATTTCCTGTATTCTTACTAATACCTATTATCTTGTAAGCGATTGACAAATCAAATAAATAAACAAACAAACAAATAAATGTTCAGCCAACTACCATGTTTCTCACAAAATAAGGCCGGGCCTTATTTATTTTTTTAACCCCCGAAAAAACAGCTAGGCCGTCTTTTCGAGGATGACTTAATTCCCTCCCCCTTGCATCCTTGGGCGGGTGGCGACGGCTTGGATGTTGACCTCGGCGTTGGTGGGGCATTTCGTATCGGGAGACCTTCTGCCGCCGTTGCTTTCCCTTCTCCCCGTGCTGCCGCATCGTTTAGAGCAACACCGTGGCGTTTGCCGCAGCCACGCGGGATTTGGCGCAGCCACACGGGGCCGGCTAGGGCTCCTCCCTGCAACCGGAGCCCAGCAGAGACACTCGGCTTCAGGCGCTCCTGTCGCCGCCTTCCCGGGCATCGTTTGAAAGCAAAGCCCATTCTTTCAAAAATGATGCCATACTACCGGTACGACAAAGCCTCCCCTGCCCGAGAGGGCAGCCCAACCCCATGTAGGGAGGCGAATCTCCTGGGCCCACAGCGCAGGATCGGCCCACCCCGGGAGAAGTGCCCAGCCGCCATCCCTGCCTGGCGGCGGGCAGAGCGCGAAGAGCTTTGCCTGGGGAGCCCAGTGCAGCTGACAGGCGGGCCCTCCTGCCCGGCGGCGGAGCTCTCGCCAAGGCAGCGAGCGCCTCCCTGCTAGGCCCTCCGTTCATCCCGCCAGGGCTGTGCCAGAGCCGGGCAGGCTGGGCAGAGCCGGGAAAGCGAGCCGTGGGTGTGCGCCCGCCTGCCAAGCAAAAGAGCCGGGCCGACCTGAGTTTGGCTTCCTTCCCAAGTCCCTCGAGCCCAACACCGAAGGGGCCACCGGGAGAGGCCGCCCGAGGCAGTGATAGCGCCCACCCATCCATGAACAGGGAGGCAAGGTGACGGCCCGCGCCGCGTCCTGCTCCGAGCTGAGCCGCGCTGAGTGAGTGCCGATGCCCGTGCCGCTACAGCGTTTGGAGCTGCTGGTGCGTTTGGAGATGCGTGGGGACGGGGATGGGCTGGGCAAGGGGTGGAAAGGACGGGCGGCTTCGGGCTCTCTCTGCTGGACCTGCCAGCCAGGGAAGCAGTACTGCTGTCGCCTCACCTCCTTGTCCGTGGACGGGTGGGCGCTATCACTGCCTCGGGCAGCCTCTCCCGGTGGCCCCTTCGGGTTCAGGCTGGAGGGACTTGGGAAGCCAAGCTCGGGTTGGCCCGGCTCTTTCGCTTGGCAGGTGGGCGCGCACCTGCGGCTCGCTTTCCCGGCTCTGCCCAGCCTGCCCAGCTCCAGCGTGGCCCTGGCGGGATGAGCAGAGGGCCCGGCGGGGAGCCGCTCACTGCCTTGGCAAGAGCTCCGCCGCCGGGCAGGAGGGCCCGCCTGTCAGCTGCGCTGGCCACCCCAGGTGAAGCTCTTCGCGCTCTGCCCATCGCCAGGCAGGGATGGCAGCTGGGCACTTCTCCCGGGGTGGGCCAATCCTGCATTGCGGCCCCAGGAGATTCGCCTCCCCACATGGGGTTGGGCTGCCCTCTCGGGCAGGGGAGGCTTTGTCGCATCGGTAGTAGGGTGTCGTTTTTAAAAGAATGGGCTTTGCCTTCGAACGATGGCCGGGAAGGCGGCAACAGGAGCTCCTGAAGCCGAGTGTCTTTGCCGGTCTCTGTTGCAGGGAGGAGCCCTGACTGGCCCACGTGTGGCTGCGCCAAATGCCGCATGGCTGCGCCAAACACCGCGTGGCTGCGCCAAACGCCGCGGCATTGCTCTAAATGCCGTGGCACCACGGGGAGAAGGGAAAGCAACGGTGGCGGAAGGTCTCCCAATACGAAGTGCCCCACCAACGCCGAGGTCAATGCAGGCAGCACCATATCTGGGTATGCAACAAAAGTACTTCCTAACGGCAAGCCCCCCCCCGCCATTCCCTCCCATTTTGCATGTTTAATATAGGCCTTAATTTGGGGGGAGGGGCTTAATTTCATTTTATGCCTATAAAACATGCTGGGACTTCCTATTGGGGGAGGCCGTATTGTTGGAGAAACACGGTACTTCAGGGCATAAGTTCTTTAATAAGCTTTCTTGATACAGATAATACTCATGTTAACGACTGTAATGAAGCCTGCCCATCTCAACAGTAATACATGACAGTCATTAAGCAGGTCTGTCATGTGACCAACCAGATTTTATGACCTTTTTGCAGTTCTGATTAAGCGAATCCATGGTTGCTAAGCAATCCAATGGTTTGCTAGGGCATGGTTTTGCTGAAAACTGAAGACATAAATGTTGCTTTTTGGCAAAACCATCATAAAACACAATCATGCCACTATAGGGTGCTGGAAGCAGCCGTATTAGGCCAGTCACTCTCAGGCCAACCCACCTCACAGGGCTGCTGTTGAGGGGAAAAAGGGAGGAGGATTGTATGTTGGATATATTCACTGCCTTAAATTGTTTGTGAAAGCATTAAAGGCAGAATACAAACATACAAACAAATAGATAGATAAATAATAAAGAGGCTCTGTTGCCAAGGCCCCAAAGTATGGTCACATGACTGCCAGGGAATGTAGGTGCATCTCTTGGGATTTTGAATTTGGGTTGTAAATACTACCCAGGTAGGTCCGTTGGAACTTCAGATGATCACTAAGTGACCAGGACTCTTTGTGCTGATATTGGTTTTTTAAAGTGATTTTTGTCCTTCAAGTTTGTAATTCCTGCTTGGGATGTTTAATTTGCTTCCCTCCCTCTAAATTCCTCTGGGTTCTATTAGGATGAAGAGGAAATAAAGAATTAAGGGCTTATGGGGCAGCAAACTTATTAACTCACTGAAGCTTTTCATTGTCATTTAGGATTTCTGTTTGGATTGTATTATAATTATTCGCCTTCGGGATGATGCTTCCATTTAACTTGTTAAGCATTATTGCCTTAGGGGGTTTCTTCTAGTGTCTTGTTTCCAGCCACAGCTAGGCAGAGGCATCGGGGACTGTTGCCTATTTAAAAATCGGGTCTTCGGAGATAGATTGCTTCTGCATATGGAGGCTCTATTACCACCAGCTCCTGAGAATGACCAAAATAACCATCTCTCTCTCCCCCCACTCTCTTCCCGCCTTCTTTTCTCCTTGCAGGTGAGCGTCCATTCCCATGCAATTGGGCTGGCTGCCAGAAGAGATTTGCACGCTCTGATGAGTTAGCCCGCCACTTCCGCACCCACACCGGCGAGAAGCGCTTTGCCTGCCCACTCTGCGAGAAGCGATTTATGCGGAGCGACCACCTGACCAAGCATGCCCGCCGCCACCCAGCTTTCCAGCCTGGCATGGTCCGACGATCTGACTGCTACAGAGCCTCTCCTACTGACTCAGCTGGCAGCAGCTTGGCCGGAAGCCCCGCCCCTGGCAGCCCCGCCTCTGACAGCCCTGCCCCTTAAAGGGGGCATGCCACCTTGTTTTTTGCCCTTCCCAGACCTGGCCTCTAGGGAGAGATCGGGTACAATTTCAGAGGCATTTTTTTGATTCAGAAACTTGGTTTTCCCATCACTTCTGGTTATGGTTTAATATGCCTTATTTCAGAAAAAAAAAGCTCCTTCTTGTGCTTGGTGGGCATTTTGATTACTGTACCAATCCCTCTCCCTGCTTGCTTCCAAGCTGTAGCCTCTATGCACATTCCCATTCCACCCAGGCTGAGGGTGGCAGGATTTGTGGAAACCAGTCGAGCAGACGTGATTAAACTTTGTTGATGTTCCTTTGGAAAAAAGGCCCCCATGTGGCTCTCAGTCAGGGGCTAATCGATGATTTCCTAGCCCTTGGTCAAAGAGATAGTCCCACCATCACTTTGCCTCGGTTTCCCAGCTGCAAAGAGACTTTATTCCAGGGGTGTGCAACCTTGGCAACTTTTAAGACCCGTGGTTCACTTTCCTCAGCCTGGAGAATTCTGGGAGTTGAAGTCCACAGGTCTTAAAATTGCCCAGATTGGACACCTCTGCATTATTCCAAGGTCTGTGTTTGATATTGTTGGAACTGTTCAGCCCAACTCTTCCCTATTATAATGAGAATGCTGATTTCCTCATTAATTGTAGCCCTCAGGAAAAGAAAGTACTTTCTTCAAGTTTCACTTAGCTTTAAGCCTCTCTTTTTGGCCAACCTATTGATAAAGAAGAAACTATTGACTCTTCGTATTTAGAAAGAGAGCAGGGTGAAAACTGCTTTCTATGCCTTTGGCCTCTTTGCATTTGATAATCAGAATTAACTTGCCTCTGAATAAGGAGGATCCCTCTTTAGCTATCAAGGCTAACGACAAACCATACGAAATCATGGCTTTCCATCTTTCCATCTCCCCATCCTAAATTGATCGTTTGCAAACTATTTTGGGGGGAAATGTTCAAGTTGACGTAGGCCCTTTGACACTAGAACTGCAGCAAAAGTGAGAGGTGATTGTTTTTTCCCCCCACAGGGAAATTGGGTGTTGGTAACTAACTTTTTGACCTGATATTGTATGTAAATATATATTTTTTTTCTCCCAGGTCAACTTTACGTAAGGTTAAAAAAAAAAGATGAGGACCTGTTTCTACGGGTGTATCTATTTCAGGGTGTGAGCGTGTGTATGTGTTTATGGTTTTTATAAAATATGTATTTATTCCTTTTACGATAGAATGTAGGAGACCAGTGGTAAAGTTTTATTGTATGACTGGTTGGCACATGGATGAATTAAAGCTGAAAAAAGAATGGGATTTTTAGTACGACTCAGGACACCTAAAAGCACTTTTTCTCACTTTCATGGGGCTGTGGCAACTGCTCTGCACAGCTGTACACCAGGCAAGCGTGTGTGTGTGTGTGTGTGTGTGTGTGTGTGTTCCTTGTTTAAAAATGGAAGCTTTGATGCTTTTGGTGATGATGGTTCTTTGCAAGCTGTCAGGTGTCTCAACAATGCTAGGCAGGAAGCAGGCCTGAGCAGGCATTCGAGGACACAAAGCTCCAGATTTACGGTGGAAAAAAAGGAATGCAGCCATTATGAAAGAATTTCAGCGATGGCTCTGTATTAAATGCAAAGTAGATGTATTGTGAAATCAGGGTTGATTTTTCTGGCGGCTTCTGGCACCCATAAGGCGTAGCTGGTGTGAAGCTGCTGTTCTAGAATCAGGCTATCTGCTTTTGACTTGGTGAGAATTGGCTCTTATATAAAAGCATCTTTGATTTGTTTCGGTGCTCTGCTGCTTCTTGAAAATGTAAATCCATTTATGCAGACAAGGCTGTCTTGGCACTTGCATTTTGAGAATAAGCCATGCAGTCACCATCCTCTGCCTTGCAAATAAGGAATAGAATAATGAGATATGGGGAGAAGTAACATTTAGATCAGGGGTCTCCAAGCTTGGCAACTTTAAGCCTGGCGGGCTTGAACTCCCAGAATTCCCCAGCCAGCTTTGCTGGCTGGGGAATTCTAGCAGTTGAAGCCCGCCAGGCTTAAAGTTGCCAAGCTTGGAGACCCCTGATTTAG